TCTGACCTTAGCTGGCATGTGGGTATATTAATGCTGCCCATTATGGACACAAGCACATTTCACCCATGTATTAATTATATGTTTTAAATTTGATAACACCACTGTGTTTCGTATCCCCTAAACCTGTAAATGTATACAGTTTAATACTGACAACTTCTAATTGTGGGAAATACGAAAACGTCTTTTAAAACTACAATTCCCAGTAGAGACGTGCCATAGAACATGTTGCGAAAAACACAATAGCCAGCATGTGTAATTCTGGGGGGGGGAGGGCTGGGCTGGACCCGTCCAAGTCCAGTTTTGGATAGTCTGGCGTGGTTCCATTCCATTTCAAAGAGCTGTTTGACACTCGGCGTAACCTTGTCGCACTGCCACTCCAACATCCAATCACAGAGCTTGAGGGCAGTAGCGTGGCGTGGGGAAAACATGAGGGGGAGCCAATAATACGTCCTTTCTTTTGGGTCGGGGGTGTGGTGGTCAATGCAATAACGTAACCAGATGAGTGATTACAGCACCCGGTATCATTTTACACACATTTGTATCATACAGATGCAGGACTTACACACGCCTGTTATCTAACCAACAGGTCAGCACGCACTCTCCAGCCCAAACTCTAATAAGCATTCATTCACAAACTAAATCAGGATACCTTTAACGTTTTACGTCCGATTCGCTCCTTTTATCCTCGCTGTACACAGCTCCAGTTTGGGCATTGGCCTGTCATCAGATTGTATTTGTTGTTGCTGCTGTAGCGGAAGTTTAATACAATTATTTTTGATTAAATACTCCACATCTCCACCCTCCATAATTGCACTTGCTTCAGTTGCTTGCTACTTTCTAACGGCGGTGAGAGTGGTGCAGTGACGCTATCTATCTTCTATCGATTAGATTTATGATTCGAAAATTATAAAAGTAGGGTAGACATGTGGATATTATCCGACTTAACTGGTAGCCCGAACATATCTGGTACTGACACCGGTGTCAGTACCAGATATGTTCGGGCTACCAGATATGTTCGGGTGTATTTCCGTCGCATCCGTCATCCGTCATATCCGTCATATACTCACCTCCCTCTGCTCCCAGCGCTCTACTGCCACACACCGGCCGTCTGCGGAACTGCAGCCGGAGGAACTCGGGACAGCTTGTTATGTGTGGGGTGCTATGGTGGGGTCCCATGTACTTGTGCACATAAATAATGTTTCTAGTTATTTACAATTAAAAAATATATATATTCTGCGTTACTTTAGCCAACACTTTTATAAGGCCACTAGATTAGATAATTACGAAATGTGTAGATAGAATACATATATTTCAGGTTGTTATTTTGTCATTATGTTTAATGTTTTATTTACCTTTTAGTATTTTTATATAGTATCTGAACTTTGGAGAGGAGTTGGGAGACACGAGACACATCAAATCACATCTACAGATCAAGGCGAAGCGAATGGACGTACTCCTAGCGTGAAAATGTTTGTGAAAACGTGTGCAAAGTCTCCGAAAATCCTAAAAATAAGCTCATATTTGAATTCATCATAAAAAAACACATCATTCAGTAAAAACAAGGCCCCACTGATCATCTACTCTCTGAGACGATTCCAGGGATGTCTGGCTTGAGTTTCGACCACCAGGGAAAGTGGACAAAAGTGCCCGAGATCAGCCTCTTAATTTACCCAGGGCCTAGTGCTTGGCTTTGGGCATGAACATTCAGGAAACTCCCCTGAGTATTTTATTAAATATCTGAACTTTGGAGAGGAGTTGGGGGACACACGACACATCAAATCACATCTACAGATCAAGACGAAGCTAGTGGAAGTACTCCTAGCGTGTGAAAATGTTTTGTGAAAAACGTGTGCAAAGTCTCCGAAAACGGAGCAGTGGCTGTGAAGCTAGCTTTGCGGCTAGCGGTTAGTTGTTATTGTTTGAAGTTGTTGCTATGGAAACAACATGACGGAGAAAAAATTAATATCTTCTACATAATAACGGACAAAGTAAAGAATGAAGTGTAGGCTATGCCTGTTTGAAGTTGTTGCTAAGGAAACAACATGACGGAGAAAAAGTATAATCTTCTACATATAATAACGGACAAGTAAAGAATGAAGTGTCGGCTATGTTTAAATGTTCGGAATTTGACCGTGATGGCCCTCTTGAGTTGGCGTAAAATATGACGGATGACGGATGCGACGGAAATACACCCGAACATATCTGGTAGCCCGAACATATCTGGTACTGACACCGGTGTCAGTACACCCGAACATATCTGGTAGCCCGAACATATCTGGTACTGACACCGGTGTCAGTACCAGATATGTTCGGGCTACCAGATATGTTTGGGTGTATTTCCGTCGCATCCGTCATCCGTCATATCCGTCATATACTCACCTCCCTCTTCTCCCAGCGCTCTGCTGCCACACACCGGCCGTCTGCGGAACTGCAGCTGGAGGAACTCGGGACAGCTTGTTATGTGTGGGGTGCTATGGTGGGGTCCCATGTACTTGTGCACATACATAATGTTTCTAATTATTTACAATTACAAATATATATATATTCTGCGTTACTTTAGCCAACACTTTTATAAGGCCACTAGATTAGATAATTACGAAATGTGTAGAATACATATCTTTCAGGTTGTTATTTTGTCATTATGTTTAATGTTTTATTTACCTTTTAGTATTTTTATATAGTATCTGAACTTTGGAGAGGAGTTGGGAGACACACGACACATCAAATCACATCTACAGATCAAGGCGAAGCGAATGGAAGTACTCCCATACTCCTAGCGTGAAAATGTTTGTGAAAACGTGTACAAAGTCTCCGAAAATCCTAAAAATAAGCTCATATTTGAATTCCCCATAAAAAAACACATCATTCAGTAAAAACAAGGCCCCACTGATCATCTACTCTCCGAGACGATCCCAGGGATGTCTGGCTTGAGTTTCGACCACCAGGGAAAGTGGACAAAAGTGCCCGAGATCAGCCTCTTAATTTACCCAGGGCCTAGTGCTTGGGCATGAAAATTCAGGAAACTCCCCTGAGTATTTTATTAAATATCTGAACTTTGGAGAGGCTCGTCCGACCGGCCCACTTCAGTACCGGCCCATCGGGATTCGTCCCGAACGTCCCGATGGCCAGTCCGCCCGTTAGACACACTAGGTTAGTGGATTGTTGTCACCCCTCTATTTGGCTTTGTCCAGTTGTTAGTAGTTCAGATAGTGAGGGTTTTTGTTTCAGAGGACAGATGTAGAGATAGGCCTGGTTTTGTTATACAAAGTAATTTAGTTTGGCACAATCTCCTTTGTCTCCTCCTCCTCACTCAAAGAGCATTTATGGTCAGTTCCTTGTTGTAAAAGGAATAAACATTTTGTTAACGTTTACGCTGACTCCTGTGTGTGCTACTGTCTCCAGGTCCCCTAGACCTTAGTGGGGACGTAACAATGTCAAATAAATGTAGTGGAGTCAAAAGTACAATATTTACCTCAAAACTGTGCTTGAGTAAACGTACCTTGTGAGCAGTGGCGGCTCCAGAGTATTTGTGTTGGGTAATCTATGGTAGGGCTAACCCACACAGTGGTGGGGCTCAAATCAGTATTTGCAATGTAATTACATACACGCTCCCCTTGACAGTGAAACGCCACGCGTGAGGTTTAGATTATTTCCCTGTCTCAATCCAAATTGAACTGTATGAAATAAAAAGGCACATTTGTCTTGTAGTAAATAAAAAGGGCGACCTGGAGCCAATCCTGCAATTTCCCCACAGGTGAAAGAGTTGACATGCTGAAAACCCAACCCCTGCAGGGGGGTCTGGGGGGATTCTCCCCCAGGAGATTTTTTGAAATACTAACATAAAATACACATTCTGGTACTCTCTTGAGAAGAAAAATAAATACATCTATTACTACACGACAAATGAATGCTATTTTAGTTTTGTGTTACTTTGTTCTGAAAGCTGAACCTGCTGCTCCTCACAGAGAGAAGAGGGAGAGGCTGTGAATGACTTTACATTGTGGATAAGGGTGGATAGCCCCCATTGTTCTGTGTGTCAAAATGAAACACAGCCCACACACCTATCAATCATCAAACCGTGGGGTCTTATTTCATTACGTGTTGATTTCTATCAACAAAAGTATTCTCGTCGGACTTCCTGCAACAACACCACGCCGTTATCGTGATTCTGATTGGCCAGAAGACATTAGCAAAGATGTTTCTATTGAGAAGACAATCAAAGTTTTCAAAACTGTTTCTAGTCTTCGGTATTTCCAGACAAGCTGCTACTGAAATCAATCTTACTAGCTGCTGTCTGTGCAATTTACTCCGCGCGAGTTGGCAGACTTTATTTTTCCTACTTTAACATAATTTTTCATGGTGGGGCTAAGGTGGAGCTAAGCCATTTCTTGGTATGGCTGTAGCCTACCCCAGCCATACCCGGGAGCCACCACTGCTTGTGAGTGACTCTCCACCACTGGTGTACAGTACATTATAACTACATCAGTGCAATGAAACACTCTTCGTTAAACAGTCTGCTGTATTGGACTCCTGTGGACAGGTGTGTGTCTCCCCGAGTGTAATGACACACACATAGGTTCAGTTTGTTCCCATGTGTATGAATAATGGAGGCTGAGTTCATGAACACATTGTTTTATTGCATGAAAAACAAACAGGCTCCTGCCTTCATGTACAGCAGCAGATTCACACAGCCTTGGAATGCAGCTCAAATGAAATGCAACATGACAAAAGGTCAAATCAAAATCACAATAAGCGTACAATACAAAATTATTATTAAAAAAAAGGATTAAGGAATAAAGTCAGTGTCTCAAAAAGCTCATTCAAACACTTCCTGTGTGCGTCTGTTAACAGTTTACTACAAGAAGAAAAAAGCTCAAAATCATGATGAGGAATGTTAGCGGGAAATGATGTGAAATAAATCTAGAGTAAAGAGGAAGTGTGTTATTAGGAACAGACTGCAAAAATACATCATGATGCTAACCTGACAACAGTATCAGGATTCAGCCAATCAGTGTGCAGGACAGGCTCCGTGCACACAGCAGCATGACGGTGCCGGAGAGACCGACCATTATAGCATCTCCCAGAGAGGAAAACTGTTCAGTTAAGCTGCTCTTCATCCTGAGGATGTTGTCAACAAAAAAATAGTCATTTAGAACAGTTATTGTAACCAAAGCGATAAACTGTAGAACACGGAGTACCACTGAGCGTGTATAACTAACAACAGAAAAATAAAGGTGAGCTTGTTGGCAAAAGAAAAGTAAAAAAACATCAGTATAAAAGAGAACGCTCGTACACCGAATACAAAAGCAACAGCTGGGTTCTGAGTTCTGTCACCACCCGACTCATGTTAACGTGTAACCAGCGCTCCAATCACTGGAAATGTGTTATTGTGTTTACATTAATGTACAGTTATTCAGAAAATCATTTGAAAAATCTACTCTAATTAAATTAGTTGAATAAAAAATGTAGAACAACAAAGTAGCATCACATTCTGTGCTCCCTTACTGCCCAGTTAGTAAGAAGTCCCGCCTCACTCAGATTCACAGCTATAAAGGGACAGGGGGCTCTCCTGGGGGGGGGGGGGGGGGGGGGGGGGTAAGGGTAAAGCAGGAGCTCTGTCTGCTGCAGCTCACACACCTTAGAGAGGGGCCGCTCACCACACACTGCTAGAGAGCCAGAGCATCCCTTCAACCCTCACACGGGGGGGGGGGGGCTTACAATGAAATATACTGGAGCAGGTTTTAGCACCCCCACCCAGAACTATTCTCCTCTGCAGCTCTGTATCTTTATAGAGCTGCTGTTATCGGGGGTTATATGTGGGTTCTAGTGTTAAAGAGGCGGGGGCTACTGTGGCTGTTTTCATTGCACCCCATGATCCACACCTGAACACTGGGGGGGGGGGGGGGGGGGGAGCAGCTGGCTGGGACCACATGTGCCATCCAGACGTGAAAGAACTAAGAGTGGTTACAATCCGTCCTTATTTGTCCTTCTTGGACCTCGACCACGCCCTCCTCCGGCGGGGGGTCCCGGCTGGCTCGGAGCTCGTCCTCTTTCGGGGACGGGGGGGGAAAACTGCGACTGCATGAGCTGGTCCTCCTTTGCTCTTGTTGAGCTTCTTGGATTTCTGGTAGAGCTCGTTCAGGTTGAACTCTCGGATGATGTTCTCCTGGGGAGACAGAGAGGTTAGTGATGCCACTTTATAATCCAGATCAGGGGGGGTGTTACGGTAACATTGTTTCATGCACTATTTTTTACTGCTGTGTTTTATATACTGGCTTATTATATTTATTTACATTTGAAATATAAACGGTAATGTTTATTATCACTTTTTTTAAAGAAAGCATTTGTTTATTTGTTTGTTGGTGTTACAACTTAATTACACATCCACAAGTTGTGTGTGATGATAGATAGAATAAATCAACTAAATGCTCGGTGTGTGTGTTGTTTATATATCAAAGGCTGTCTATTACAGTTTCACATTATATTTGATGACCATTTGTGGACTACAACACTCTACAGTGGAGGGCAGCCCTCCTCACTACACAAAGCAACAAGGTCTGATTGCAGATGAGGTCATTGTTGATCCACTTGCGGCGTGCACACCGACACACAGCGACCAGAGGTTTGAAAATCTGAACGACAGTGGGCTGAAGTGACTTTAAACAGTTACTGTGGCCCAATCCCAAACCCTACTCCTACACCCTACCCCTCCGTTTGCGCGTTCACGCGGAGGGTCCGCCACATTGAGTGCTGTTCCAAACCAACGAGTGTGGAGCGGTGTGGAGGGGGAGTGGGCTATCAAGCCCTCAAACAGCGAGTCTGCAGCGATGCTGACTTGAGACCGGTCTCTACCTGACGTGAACATTAATAGAATATCACCTCCATCTTCAGAGCAATCTGACTATTATAACATTAGCGTTAAGAAAGCTTACTTAAATATCTGCCACAACATAAGTAACCGGATCAGAGTAACATTAAAAGGTGGATATGCGAGTGTGAAGAGATATGTTTTGAGGCGTGATTTGAAAATGGGGAGAGAGTCAGTGTTGCGGATGTCAGGTGGGAGGGAGTTCCAGAGGCGGGGTGCAGAGCGGCTGAAGGCTCTAGATCCCATGGTGGTTAAACGGAAGGGGGGTGCAGTGAGGCTGAGGGAAGAAGAAGATCTGAGTGTGCGGATGGGTGTGTTGATGTGCAGGAGGTCGGAGAGGTACAGAGGAGTGAGGTTATGGATGGCCTTAAAGGCGAGGAGCAGAATCTTAAAAACGATACGGGATTTGACGGGGAGCCAGTGAAGCTGCTGAAGAACATGAGTGATGTGGTTAATGGAGGGGGTTCTGGTGACGATGCGGGCGGCAGAGTTCTGAACCAGTTGAAGTCTGTGGATGGATTTGAGAGGGAGACCAAAGAGAAGGGAGTTACAGTAGTCGATGCGGGAAGTGACCAGGGTGTGAACAAGAATGGCGCTGATCTGAGTCAGCTGAGCCGTATCTGGCCGTGCAACACTCACAGTGTCACATACTGTAAGCAGAAGTATTATTTTAAGCAACACATTAAGTTGACGAAACACTCGAGTCAAATGTAATTAAAGTCAGATCGTGTCTTAGACGGTGCAGTGATATCATAAACCTGTTAATGTACGCATTCAAACACTTGTTCTGTTACCAGCTGTATTCACCTTGCAGGTGCAGCTCTGTGGCTTTGATCCTGGATCAAGTGTTTAAGTCATGGATGTTTAAAGTTTAACTTCTTCATATTTGACTAGTATTAAAGTTCACTTTTCATTCAGGAAGTATGACGCTGCGCTGTCAGTACGCTTGTCCATGTTTTTGATTGGTCAAATGTTGCTAGCCCCGCCCCTTTCATGTGAACGCGCACTCAGCCGGACAGAGAAACCCTGGCTTGAGTTACCGAGTTGATAACCAGCATCGTAGGACCGCTTAGCGAGAGCGCGTTTGTTTTGGGTTAGTTAAGCCGGGTAACTCAAACATATCCAGGGTCTGTTGAACCGGCTTCGTCGTACAGGGCACAGGTAACAGCGGCTTTGCCACTCTGTGCAGACAGGTCAGCAGGCTGGGCAGTAAGCAGCTGCGCTCATTTGTCCAGACTCAGATCGCATCGAAATATTTACGGACGATAGTTTGTCGGAAAATATTTCCATTCAAACTAAGTATATTTAATTCCTTCACTTGCATAGTTTGTGCAAACAATTAACCCATAATAAAACTTTGTTGTCAATATTTATAAGCTAATAGTTTCAATAGAAATGTTTATTTGTAAGGGTTGGATGGACATTATATCTAAATATAAACCAGCTCTTATCATTGCAGTAGCATACTCTTTGTCCCACATGTGGCTGGTTGGCAGCTTTAACTGAGAAAGTTATTTATATACATTGTATTGACAACATGATGAGCCTGACCTCAGTGAAGCTCCAGGACACGGCTCTTCCCTTCTTGTCCACCTGGGGGCGGCGCATCACCTCCTTCCCGCCCTGGAACAACACCAGGGAGGGCAGCTGCTTGGACAGCGGGGACGCGGACACCTTGTACCTACACAACACATCATCATCAGTCCTCACTACAGAAGTCAACGTAGGACAAGACTTGTTGAAGACCGAATGAAAGGTCGTACTTTTTGGAAACCTCTCCATAACGTCCGATGTCCACTTTACCGAACTTGAGACCGGCGCAGTTATACCTGGAACACAGACAGAGGAAGTTACTCAGAGAGCTCGTGTTGATGTGAGGGACTTCAGCCTGGGACCGAGTCTTACTTCAGGGACAGATCAGCGTAGACGGAGGCAAAGGACTGGCACTCTGGAGACCAGTTGGCGAAGAATTCAACAATCCAGGTCACACGAGGGTCTCTGTCCAACTCATCCTGGACACAGACAATTTGGATTTACTTATAAAACACATGAACAAAACTGGGGGGGGACAGTTTTCCCCACAGGCTATAAGACTGCATCACTTCCCCTTAATCTGTTCATAACATATATCTGTGTACAGCTCATTATTACAATAAGCAGTATTTTATTTTTATCTTATTCTATTTTACATATAAATAGTTGACCTTCATCATCATCATCAGTCCTCACTACAGAAGTCAACGTAGGACAAGACTTGTTGAAGACCGAATTAAATGTCGTACTGTTTGGAAACCGCATTTGACCGATTATCGGTATCGGCCTTTTTTTAATCAAATTGCCGATAAAACTTTGACTCTGATGCGGCCGTTTCTCTGGCTGCAGTACTCTGTGTACACGAGCAACGTCCCGCCCACAGCGCTATCTGATAGGCTATTACTGAAGAGCCAGCCAGAGAGGCGGGACCTTCTCAGATTACAGGCAGGTGCGAAAGAACGCAGACACAGACTGAAGCAAGCAGCAGCCATGCATGTGTTAAACCGAAGTTCAATAAACATCCCTATCCCCTATGCTGAAGCTGCGAGTGGAGCCTCGCAGTTTTTCAGGTTGATATGTGAAGCTCATTAGCTAGCCAACATGTATCTAGCAAATGTTTAGCAACATATTAGAAGTGAGGCTAGACTAACGTTAGGTCTACTGTAATAGCCTCACTTTTAATAGTTTGCAAAACATTAGCTAGCACTAGTGTTTTACAGTTGCTAGCAGCTTACTGAGATGTTATGCTAGATAGACAGGCATTGTTTTGATATAATAAATTAAGCATTATTGTTAGTTAAGCATGTCAGCCTGCAGCCCCACTTCTTGTCTCTCTCTAACTCATTGCAGATGACTGCACTAAAGAAAAGGGCACAGAGAGGAAACCAGTTGTAAGATGTTTAAAAGTTCATTAAACATAATATGCTTAAATGCATTTCAAAGAAGTTGTGTTGAGTTGTGTTGGAGTTTGTGTTATTCTACATTTTGACACCAAGATTTTCTGATTTGACTGCAAATGTATATCGGTTCCAAATATCGGTTATCGGTCTCCTTGATTACTAATAATCGGTATCGGCCTTGAAAAAGCCATATCGGTCGATCCCTAGTCCATAACGTCCGATGTTCACTTTACCGAACTTGAGACCGGCGCAGGTTGCACATTGTGTCACTGGCACTAAACTCTTGCAGACTTTATTTCTTCGTGTTTTATTGTTTCACGTATCAGGCTTATTCTATGTCACAGTGCTGGAGGAGCCTGGGACTTCAGATGGGTAATGCCAAAACTAATGTTCATATCACAGCAAGATTCATGTTTGAAAGATGGTCACCATTGACACAGCTCATACCAGAACTCTAGTCAAACCTTTTTGGCCCTCCTTTCATTTCATTTCATTCACTGTATTTGTGGTTATTGTTTGGGTTATATACTATCATAAATATATACAGTTATTGTATGGTTCATTCACTGTTGTTAAGAGAGGTGCAGTATGCGTACTGCTCATCTTTGTCCTAATAACGTCCGGAGGAGACCATGGAAGTATTTATATAAATTGTAATTATACGTATGTTTAAAAAAAAAACAAAAGGATAAGTAAAAATGGACACACTTCTACACTACGGATGTTTTTACCTCACATCGATGGTTTTGTCGCTGAAGTACTGGATGTACCTCTGGTCCCATGTAGAGAGGAGGCTTACAGGTCATCAGAAAACACTGAGACAACAGAGAGGGAAACATGAGGGGCTCGACTTAGAACACAGAAGATATAGTATATCCTTGCAGACAAAGTGGCATAGGAACTTGAAGTAGTGGATAAACATCCACTATATTTGTGTTGCATTTTGAATTGGATTGTTGACGACAGGAAGCAGTGTGTGAGGTGGACTGACCGATGCAGAGCGTCAGGTACAGAAGGCCTATCCTGATGTCCAGCCTGAAGAACAGGATGACGTTGGCCACTTTGCTGAACAGGATGATGTTGCCCAAATGCTGCTCCACCGTAACTGCAAACATACAGAAAGGCTCATTCTTTGTCCAAAACACATCCACATCAGCAGGTTCATGACGCTCATTTGAAATCCTGAGCAGCACAGGTATATGACTGTTAAAGAACCATGCATTAGTTTACTCTGACTTCCTGAAGCCGCTTCTTTATCAGCCAGGCATCAGACCAATGCCATATATTCATAATGCTGCTCAGGAGGAACTCTGAGAGTAAACAGGATGACTCACTCGCTCGTCTGTTCTTCATCATGACAATGGCACTGAGGAACATGAGGATCTCCACCTCCCTCTGAGAACACAAACAGAAACTCTGTTATCCAACCAGAGAGCTTAGGACATGTCGGGACACTGATGTCATGTTTAGTGTAAATACTGCACTGAAGTCAGTATGAGGGACAAGTGACAAAGAGAACTGCTGACAGAATGTGTACCTCTGAACATGACACATTCACAAGAAGGAAAAGACTGAGTCTAAATCTAATGTTGCATAGTGTACTTAGAATATGGCACCACTATTAAAAAAATAAGGCAATCAAAATCGATAAATATTTACTTGAAATATTGTCTTTTGTGTTTAATCATTATTTTGTACCTATGTACCCCTGAAATCAATGTTTTGTGTGTGTATATATATATAATACATATTCTTGAATAAAGGAGAAAAAAAGGTTCTTCATTTGGATTCTTTGAAGAGGTCCAAACAGGTCACATTCCATAGACAAAAATAGTTAGTTATTCATTCTTTGTATAGTTAGGTGTATGTTAACGGTAAATTAATTTCATAATTAGATTTCTGGCATTACATAACATGATTCATTCACTTACTAGTTAGTACTAATGGTTCAGTTTGGATCCGTGTCTTCTAACGTTATCTAGCTCAAACTCAAACATTACTGAATGGATCAACGTTACTGTTATTCATGTCCTGAATTCTGTAACTAACCTACTGCACTGATCACATTTCATTTGGTCCAGGATAACAAACAAACTGACACAAGTTGAGTCTTTTTTTGAAATCCCTCTATGTGTTTGGAAACCACAGAGAAGACATTTACAGACTTTACTGTTATTAACATATATGAAACACAAAACAGTGTAAAAGAACATGCACATTGTTTAATGAATGTGTTTATAGAGACATTATGGTTAGTGGTGCTCTTTCTAGCATAACAGCTACCTTGGTGCTGACGTAGCATCTAGGCTGCTGCTAAGAAGCTGTGGCAGTGCTAAGCTTGTGATTGGCTCAGGCAGGTGTGTAGGCGGGACCTTCATACTGTTGATTTGCTATCAATTATAGCATTATTTCTGCCAAATCAATACTTAAATAGTTTATAGGAATTGATGAATACCACATTATGAAGCCTTTATTGGAAATTCCTGTAAGAATTAAATATGTGACAAATAAACACTTTTTAAATTCATGATAAAAACGATTTCATAAATGAAGAATATTTGTCTCACTTTGTTAATAAGTAATCAGACACTGGTTGTGTTGTAATGTAAAGTGTGTCCTGATTAAAACCTTTAAATACATTTGAGTTCAAATGTACTAAATAAAACGACGTGGTTGGAAATCACAAGATTACAATGAAAGCAGATCAAGTATATATTTCCCGGCCCTAAACGGGGGTTTTAATGATTTAGTGAAATCTTAGGAGCTTTCTTGAATATTGGGGAAACACAGGGCAGACGGTCAGTGACAGACTGGTTTGGGGATTGTTGGATATATTACAATGAACCAGTTCTTTTTCTTGGATCCTATGAAGAGGTCAAAACAGGTCACATGGTTATTCCACAGAAACATACTAATTTATTCATGGATATTCTTTGTTTAAGGTGTATGTTAACAGTACATTAATTGCATTACGTTTAAATAATAATATGATTAATTACTAAATGATAAATTATCATTTTTCATTCATTCGTTCGATGGTGCAGTTTGGATCAGTGATGTCCTCTAACGTTAGCTAGCCAACTCAAACCAATCCTGAAGGGATCAACGTTACTGTTATTCGTGTACTAGAATAAACGCTGATTTACAATGAGCCGTATTTAGTATACATATCTTAATTAATTAGTGTGATGCATTACGATGAGTTTTTGAATATCTCTGGCAAAAAGCAAAAGACTATGAATTTGCAGGTTTGTGACCATAGTTCGGCCTGTCATTCTCCCTGTAGCTAGCAGCTAATGACACCTGCCAGCTAACGCTTGCTCTTGCCGTAAACCTGCCCGATTACCAGCTCGCTAGTAACTTCATACGGTACCTATTATTACAATATGTACAATTATAAATGTCTACGGACCCAGTCGAAGTCGCAGGGGTTGCCGTCCTCTCGCTGTGTGTTCAGTTGGTCGCAGATGCCAGGCGTCTTTCGAACAGCTAGAAAGGCTATGGACATAAATAGAGAGGCTACATAGTAAGGCTTCAGAAGCCACTTGTACACCTGCGGCAGGTGGTACAGGAACGCAAATAACGTCGTTAGTAGAGCCATTTTCTGTAAAACTGTCGTCGGCCTATAACTAACACTGTGAATGCAGCCCGAGAACACCGAAGCTGGCAGCCAGTGATGAAGCAGCTAGCTTAATATGAATGTCTAGTTGCTAGCTTTCTCCGTGGGAAAGTCGCCGGAAATCCAACTTCCTGTTTACGATGTTCAAAATAAAAAAAAGCATGCCCTGTGTGATATTTAAATGCAATTCAATCTAATTGTAATATAATCAAAGAATAAAGAAGTTCAATATTTTTATTTTACACATTTTATGTATGTTTTTATTTAATTTACTCTAACTTTGCACCCATCTGAAAATAGAATCGCTTTTAATGTGAAGGTGGGAAACCTCTCTTCCTGTGTAACTGTTGTTACTTCTTGGTAGCTTCTTTTGGCTATTCAGTTTGCAGTGTGCGGACTGCGGAGGTCAATCAGGACGAATGTGTTACCAGACGCTGATTGGTCAGGAAAAAGTACAGGTCACAGCTGATTGGTTCAAAATGATACAATGCAATATTACATTTAGCTTACTGCAGGATCTCAAGCTTTGATTTTCTAATTGTGGGTGCTATTTCAACTAAAGTTGCATAACATTAATGCACATCATGTGAACACAATGTTATTTTGTAATACTGTGAGTCATGATCATCTCACTGGATATATTTTGCACATATCTGCACAGCCCTCCACTTTAAATATAATATACTGCAGTTCTTCATATATTGTCATATATTCATTGTTCAAATTTTTTATTTCTTTAAAATATTTAAATTAGGTGTCTTTGTCTTTATTCTTTTTTAATGTTAAATATTTTTTTTAATATTCTTTCTTTTTATAATCGTGATATTTCTTTACCTTCTCTCACAACTTATTATATTATGTTGTTTATGTTTGCACCAACATACACCAAAGCATATTCCTTGTGTGTGTAAATGTACCTGGCAATACATGAATTACATAAGTATATAAGTGCACACAAAACTGTCCATACATACACATTTTATAACAGAATAATTATCATTCTGAAAAATCGGTTTAATGAATTGGACTTATGCGTTGCTCAAATAAGAGCTTTAGAAAATTAGCTACTTAGTATTAATTGCATTCTTATTCATACTGTTTGGCTTCTTATGGGGAGTCATATTGATGCAGTTCTTGGATTATAAAAAAAAAAGATCTAGGAAAAAAATCAATAAAATGTGGTTTGGAGTCAGCACATCTTTTCTTGTGAATGTGGAACCAAATATACGGTATATATACTATAAGAAGAACATATGATAATACAATGAAAAACATCACTCCAAATGTTTGTTGTGTTCATATTGTGAATGCACTGAATACAATCCACCAGAGACAAAATGATATACAAAACATTTATATAATTGTATATATAAATATACATATGCATAGAGGTGACAGCAAAGAACTAATAAGGAATCTAAGAGATACTCTGCATTGCACTATCAACCCATTGGTACTGTGAATAAACTAAATACAATATTCAAAAAAAGACAAAATTATATACAAATAAATCTAATTAACAAAAATCTAATGCTCAGAAAAAATCAATGAAGTCAACTAAAAAACAGTTCATTTAAAAAACACTGACCAAAAAATAAAACTGCAATAAAGGTGACAGAAATAAATAAATAAATAGTTCAAAGAGAAACACTGCATTGCACTCAAAGAATTATTTTAAAATCAACCTTGCCTGCTGCAAATTCACTTAATACAATACTTACATTCTTTGTAACAATCTTATATAAAATTGCATGTTTCTTAAATCAAAATGCAAAACATGTAACAACAAATATATGACATTTTAAGAAACACATTCTTGGCACTTAATAACTCCTCATGGTGTCCGGGGTCCTCCTCTTTATTGTATGAACCTGGACCTCAAGCTCTCCTCCTGTCCAACATGAAAAGAGAGTATTTGTCACATGTGTTCGATACATATCACATATCTGATTAAAAGGGGTACATCAGAGTACTATGTGTTTTGCGGATGTTGCTTTTAAAGCCATCAATTCAAATTCACCTTGTCCTGTCCAGAAGTAACTAAGTACATCTACTGTACTTAGTTACAACTGTGAGGGTTCTTGTACTTTACTTGAGTGTTCCCATCTTTTGCTACTTTGTACTTCTACTCCACTGAAATGGTGGAAATAAATGGTGTACTTCTACTCCACTACAAGTCAGAGATAAATGGTGTACTTATACTCCACTACAAGTCAGAGATAAATGGTGTACTTCTACTCCACTACATGTATTTAATACCTTTAGTTACTTTACAGATGTGGATGAATGATGTGAAATCTAATCAAGTGTTGAATCAGACTTTAGTTCCACCTGGAGTAAATCCACCAGCTACCCTGCAGTATACAAAGTCATTCAAACTAGCTGCACCTTTACCAGCTTTGAGAACACTTTCATGATCAATCATTATAAAACACATCATATTATTATTCTGAAATGGACCAATCTGCACAATGACTACTTTTACTGTCGCTACTTTCACTATATTTTGATGAGAATACTTTACTTTACTTGAGTAACATTTTGAATGCAGGACTTTTACTGTAACAGAGTATTCCTACACTCTGGTACTTCTACTTTTACTCAACTACAAGATCGGAGTACTCCTCCTACCTCTGCTCCTGTCTGTCCATTACTGCCAGTTCAGCTCTTGACAAATGGTCGACAATGGCCACGCCGATGCAGTCTCCCAGAACGTTAACAGCAGTGTTGAGACGATCTCTGAAAGACAAACATCAGAAGTGGGGGGGGGGGGGGTATGAGCCTCTTCACACCATGCTGTTTGAGGTCAGGGGAAGCATCCTTTCCAAAACACGCTATGATTTAACTTAAAACAGCACCCATTCTAACACCAGCAGAAGGGAAGCATCCCTCGCAGGGATCCCAATGACGGTCAGAATAAAGAGAGTGTGACCATTCCTGTAGCTGGGATGCCTGCTTCTCTCCCACGCTGGAACCTGATACGATCAGACTGCAGAGGGAACACAACATGAGTAAGAGGAGTGGAACAAGTGGAAAAGATTGACGTCTACGAGTCCTTATGGAAACATTAGAATACGAGCAATCCTTATGAAAAATGTGGATTTCTATGTAGGCGTATAATTAAAGAAAGATATTCACAGATAAACCTTTTAAAAAGGTGCTGAAGTTTAGCTTTAAAAAAAAATACATTTAAACGATTGTGAATGAATTATTTAAAAAATGAACGTTTTGTTTAAATATGTTACAATCTTAAATCTGTAAAGATAGTATGCACTATGCAGCCTTTTAAACATCACTGCTTTAAACTTCAGTCTGTGTGGTGGGGGAGAAGATAAGAATGAATTGAGACTTACCAGAGGGTTATTAACTGGCTCCAGTTCAGATTGATGAAGTTGAGTTGGGCGATGAACACTGACGCTGATATTTCGTAAAGGGCTGTCCCGTCCATGTTAGCATTGATCCCAGATGGGCAGCATGAGCGCGTGATCCTCTTGTCCACTTTGTTGACTTCTTCACAGCATTGAAAGGTGCAGCCTGAACGCAGAGCTGAGGACAGAACACCTTGTTAGTTCTTCATATCCATAGATTCCCTTTCAATCTAAAAACTCTATGTGATACTATCGTGTTGAAGGCTTTAAATCAGGAGTGTCAGACTCGTTTCAGGTCAGGGGCCACATACAGCCCAATTTGATCTCAAGGGGTCCGGAAGAGTAAGTCATAGCTTAATAACCTATAAATAACAACAACTCCAGATTGTTCCCTTTGTTTTAGTGCAAATGAGTACATTCTGAAAATGTTCACATTTAATGAACTATCTTTTTCTCAAAACATTATGAACAACCTGACATTACCTAAGAAAAATAAGTGCAATCTCAACAATTGTTATGCTTCAGTGTGTATACAAAAGTAGAAGTACCAGAGTGTAGGAATACTAAAAGTCCTGCATTCAAAATGTTCCTCAAGTCAAAGTAGAAAAGTATGATCATCAAAATATAGTGAAAGTAGCGACAGTAAAAGTAGTCGTTGTGCAGATTGGTCCATTTCAGAATAATATATATGAAATGTTTTATAATGATTGATCATGAAAGTGTTCTCAAAGCTGGTAAAGGTGCAGCTAGTTTGAATGACTTTGTATACTGCAGGGTAGCTGGTGGATTTACTCCAGGTGGAACTAAAGTCTGATTTAACACTTGATTAGATTTACCATCATTCATCCACATCTGTGAAGTAACTGAAGGAGTTTTTAATAAATGTAGTGGAGTAGAAGCAAAAAGCAGCAAATCAAGTACAGTTTCAAGTATCTAAAAATGGGCACTAAAGTCCAGAACTATAGTAAATGTTATTAGCTACTTTACAGCACTGTCATTTTCACAGATGTATATTTTTCAAGGAGTGTCTGAAGCATCATTTTATATTTACTTCACTGTTTAATTTGCTCCTGAAAACGTGGCCTCTTTTAAGCCTTCACAAGTGCACCAATATCAATATCAGCAGTCAATGTCTTCTTTTTTAATACTTTGCAAAGTCATCCCGCGGGCCGGATTGAAATCAAATGTTCTCCTACCTGCGCGAGATGAGCATGGCTCTCATTATGGCAGGCATGAACCCCCTATGATGAAGGAAAGGGGTTCTGTTTTGGCACACAGGACATAGATGAGAGGCAGGACCAATGCTCCGTGGATGAGGAGCCCTGAAAAAGGGCAGAAAAGTTCCCAGTGAATACCAACCACAATCGAAAACAATGACTGAACAGCAGCGAAAACGGTTTTGCATACTCAACTGCAATATCTGCTAAAAGTGCAAGATAACATACCCAAAAAACGACAACGGCCGTGAACTTTCCGAGTTTGAAGACCGTCTCCCAGTCCCCCAACATCAACCACATAAGCTGGTGGTCATGGACCAGCACTCCTAGTGGCATGAAGCTTGACAAGGAAACATTAGAATGAAAAGTCACAGGAACAGAGGTGGGAAGTAACCAAGTGTGGGGGAAACTTCTGTAGCAATGGAGAGTCAGGACTCAGAGAGGCACGAGGAGAGCTGGAGCTTTGATGGCAAACACTGCTGGTTTATTTGGAGTTACGGCCGGAGAATGGAC